ATATATTTACATATATATGTAAATATATATAAATATGTAAATATATGTAAATATGTAAATATATATATGCTATATATATATTTACTAGCAAGATATCTTATTTGTTTCAGCTTTTATTTAAATGTGTGCCTCATCTCATAGAGCAGTGGGCAGCTAAGTTGTGTCATTTTAGGTATCCCTTTTTTAGTTTCTTCATTTTCTATTATTAAACATTTTTATCAACTTTAGTAAGCTATAATGTATATATCATAAAATTCACATATTCTGAGTACACAACTGAATGATTTTAAATAAATTTGCACAGTTATAAAATCCCCACAATCCATTCTAAGAATATTTTTATCATCCAAAGGAGTTTTCTCATACCCATTTGCAATAAATCTATATTCTCACCTTGAGTCTCTGGGTTGTTTCCACTTTTGGCCATTATGAATGATGCTACTTTGAGCATTTGCATTGAAGTCTTTGCATAGATATATGTCTTTATTTATTTATTTTTTGGATACCTGGGAATGGAATTGCCAGTTCATATGGTAAATCTGTGTTTAACTTTTTAAAAAATTGCCAGTTGTTTTCCAACATGGCTCTGCCATTTTACATTCCCACCAGCAGTGTATGATGGTCTAGTTTCTCCACATCTTCAACAACACTTGTTATTATTGCCTTTTTTTAAACCATTCTAGTGGATAGGCAGTCCTGTCTCACTGAACCTTTAATTTACATTTGACTAAGGGCATTGAATGTTTTTTCATGTGCTTATTAGACATTAGTTTATCTTTTCATGATCATCATTCTTCAGCCACTGATAAGTTTGCTGTTTGCTAAACTTCACACAAAAATGGGGAAAGTCTTGAGTCTTTTGCTGATGAGATTTCAGAAAGCAATAGAAATAAGAAAGATGAAAACATCAGAGGTCAGAGTAACCAGTTTCTGGTGAAGGTATCAAAAGTGATCAAGAGACAGAAAACACGTGTTATATGTCTTTCCTTTTTAGAAAGTGGGATCCCCTAAGAGATATTAAACCCTGGTTCTGTTTCATAAAGCTGGGCATCTTAGCTTTGCTTCCAGTTACAGGGACTGGCATATAACAAATGCATGGCTGTGTGCTCCACGAAGATTCACAGGAGAGCAGAGGCCAACCTTAGGATGTTATGTGGGCATTAAAATAGTAAAAGGATAATTGCTGATAAAGGACTCCAGGAGCATACTCTTTGAAGGTTTGTAGGTACACACATTCATCAGTAGGGATGTTTTGCAATAGTAGTAGCACTCACTACCAGAATGGGGTTCAATTCCTTGAAATCATGAAAAAAAAGAAGATAATAGTACCCTTCCAGGTGGAATACTATAGAGGTTGCCAGAATATGGATTGATTCTTAGGGAACACATATTGGCTGTAATCATCAGAATGGGGCTCAAGAATTACTTTGATAGAAAGGATGAGCTAATACAGGGATGCTAAGTTTTAGATTAAAGTTTCTTAAGCCCTTCTTGGTTAAAGTCAGGACTGGTCCTTTAGGACTGAGTCATATTTGAGCCTGTTGGGTGAGGGTCCACTGTGGAGAGAGGAAGGATGCAAAGGCTCTAAGTTATCAGAATACTCCCAGCAGAAATGGTGACCTTTGTACAAAGTGGATCTTAGTTTCTATATTAGATGGTTGCTATGGAAATATTTTGATGACTGATTACCACATTTGTTGTTTTTTTTTAAAGATTTTATTTATTTATTTGACACACAGAGAGAGATCACCACTAGGCAGAAAGGCAGGCAGAGAGAGAGACGGGGAAGCAGGCTCCCTGCCGAGCAGAGAGCCCGATGTGGGGCTCAATCCCAGGACCCTGGGATCATGATCTGAACCGAAGGAAGAGGCTTTAACCCACTGAGCCACCCAGGCACCCCACCACATTTGTTTTTAACCCATACAGTTAGTCGCTACTTGATACCTGACTAATCTGATTATATCACATCCATTTTGTTAACAAATCCAGAATGTGATGTCATTTTTGAGACTAAAGGCACTTCGATTCTCTTGTGTGAAATAATCAAAGACCTTAGTTCCATTACTTTTGGGCAATAGAGGAGGTCAGCTTCCTGAAATGTAAAGCAGAAATACCTACTCATCTAATGTGTTCTACCAGTCTGCTCACGCTGCCACAGCAAAATAACATAGACAGGGGACTTAAACAGGAGATGTTTATTTTTCTCACAATTCTAGAGGCTAGGAAGCCCCAAATCGAGGTGCTAGCAAAGTAGGTTTCATTCTGAGATCTCCTCTCTTGAGTTGTAGAAAGCTGCCATCTCACTGTATGCTCACATGACCTCATATTTGTGTACACAGTTTTAGAGAGGGAGAGTGTGTGAGCACATATTCATGTGCAAGCTGTCTGCTGTCTTTTCTTAGAAAGATGCTCTTTCCATCATGAGGGTTCTACCTGCATGACCTCATCTAATCCTGATTACTACTCAAACATCCCATCACTTTGGGGGTTAGGACTTCAACATGGGAATTTTGGGAGGAGACCAACATTCAATTCGTAACACCTATTCTATTTCATGAGGTTATTAGAGAACCAGGTAATAGTTAACATTTATTGAATGTGTTTTCTGCTGGCCTTGATTCTAAGTACTAATATTCATTGGTTAATTACAATAATCAAGAATTTTATGGGCGCCTGGGTGGCTCAGTGGGTTAAAGCCTCTGCCTTCAGCTCAGGTCATGATCTCAGGGTCCTGGGATCTAGTCCCACATTGGGCTCTCTGCTCGGCGGGGAGCCTGCTTCCCTTTCTCTTTGCCTGCCTCTGCCTATTTGTGATCTCTCTCTCTGTGTCAAATAAATAAATAAAATCCTTAAGAAAAAAAAAAAAGAATTTTAGATACTATTATTTATCTCCATTTTACAGATCAAGAAACATGAGGTTTAAAGAAGTAAAGTCAAAGGTGATCAAGGTCACAAACACATAAATACATGCACAGTCTGAATTAGCTCTAATTTTTCTTCATATTTCTCTTAAGTGTGGCCCATCCATTAATGCTCAGGTTAGCTTTCTCCTCCTTAGGAAGTTTTCTCTGATTGCCTTCAACCTTGAGAGATTAATCTCTGATATGACTTTTTTAAATAGCATTAATTGCCTGTACCATTCTCGCTTAGCCTCTTCTTTTATGCTGCTGTTATTCAACTTTGTGTAACTTAACCAAGGTAAATTACAAGCATTTCACAAGCATGGGCCATAACTTTTATCTCCTTTATCTCCTGCTTTTAGAATACAGTTAGTGAGGTTAGTGGGTAATTATCGGTAAGGGTGATGAAATGCAAGCGTCGGGAACCTCAGTAACAGCTGGATCTCTAAAAATAAAAGAAAATTATAAATCTGTCTCTGTTAGGGTAGATTTATAAATGGTTTGTGGAAAGCAGAAGACATACTGGAGTTTTAATATACTGATACTTTTAATATTACATTAGCTGCCAGAAAGGATATATACCAAGTACAGAAATTATTACCTTAATTTTCAAAGTTAGCACGTGTGGAGAATTAGGTTCCTTATGTCCATATCATTCTTTTATTTCTGCTGCTGTGGCCAGCTATACATTATTAGACTTTATGGAAGAGAAGTTGAGCTGGGATTTATTTTTATTTTTAATTTTGAAAAGCACTTGAAATAAGTTGAGTCTTACTGACTTAAAGGGTAAAGTTGACCTTGAGTGCAAGACAATGTTTCAGCTAGTCACTGTAATGGTTCAAGACACTTGATAAACAAGATCTTGTGCCTTAAAAGAAAGCTAATTAATTGACTGACAATTGACTCTCCTAGGTCTCTCTATATATAGTCATTTCTTTTTTTTTAATAAGGTGGTTTGGTAAAATAAAATATAGAATGTTAGAATGCTTTTGACTAGAATGTATAAGGAAGTAGAATTGCAAATTATGGTTCTGATTTGCTTGAATGTCAGTATACAGAGATTATAATACTTAAGTGTTGACTCCTTTAAGTAATGAGGAAAACCCAAAACCTGCATCTGCAATATAGTGGTCTTTATCCCAGGAGAGATTAGAATAGTTTTATGATCCACTTTGTTACGGATACTGTGCTAGGAACTTTCATAAGCGGTATAATTTAATCATTACTATGACTCTCCGAGGCAAAGTAGGCATTGTCTTCATACTTTTAAAATGAGGAATGAAACACGGATTACTTATATAACTTGACCAAAGTAATATATTTGATAAGTGGTGGAATCAGAAATTGCATTTAGGCTTGTTTGACTTAGAACGTGAGAGTAATGATGTTGATGATGAAGTTAGTTTATTTTATTTATTTTATTTTATTTATTTTATTGCCTCACATGTAATACTTGATATAGTATTTAAAACAATTTATGAAAGAAATACATGAGACAGATGAGGAATATGAGACTTAGAAAGACTAAATAATGAGTTCAAGGTTATACAGGAGGTGCTAGTGACTGAACTGTAGTACGGATGTATTTGTCACAAGGTCTGTACACCTATGCTACCACACTCTAAAGCTGGTCCTCTTGCCGTTATACTCACTTGACTCTAGTGTGGACTCCCAAGAATGGGAACACTTGCAGTTTGGCAATACCTATCAAATATATATATACAAATTATATTTCATCATAAACTGGTTTATCTACTAAAGATTATCCGTTCCATGTAGGTGAATTGATTTAGCAACAAAAAATTATTCTGGTCTATATTCTGATATCTCCACCTCCAATGAAAATAGTATTTGTGTAATCACCTAATTACTGAAGAATGGATACAGATTTTAGCTTACCGTGCATCATCTTTACTCATATGGCATTATTGAAGGATTTTAAGATACTTTTGAATACTGCTGTATGAAATTATAATCATAGAAATCAAAGAAATTATAAACAAACATAGAAATCATAGCAAAAATCAAATATGAAACCAAATTTTCTTCTTTTTGATATGAAATATCTATAATTTAATTCTCTTATACATCCTTTTTCAGATCATGCTCATCTTGGCTGCTACCGACCCAAGGATTATAAGGTATGTAAGTATAAATCACAGAATGATAACTTTCCTGGCTTTCACATAAAAGCCATAATGCACATAAATGTACATTTCTTATACATATGGTCAGAGATTATTGTAATCATTTAGTCAAGAAAATGGACAAACAATATTGTATCATAGAATATCATTATTTTGGCTACAATGTCAAGTGATAGAGCAGACTTTTCATTGAATGTCTTTGTACAACAATTTGTGGCTTTTGATTATTCATTTAGATCAATTACTTATTGAATGTGTTTGTGTATGTGTGTGTGAGAGAGAGACATAGACCAGAGAAATTGGTTGTTATTTTTAGTAATAAGTTGCACAGTACTATTTCTCAACTTCATTTATAGACCATCCTTACAATTTTTAGAATATCTGCATGTAATTTGTGCTGTTTTCTTTAAATTCACTTTTTATTTACCTCACTACTATAAATGAAAAATCAATATCTTATGCTTTAAATGGATGATTGCTCTAAAGGATACAGTGAAAACAAAACAATGTTACAAAGTTCTGGCTAGATAAAGGTTGTTTTCCAAAAGCTCTGAGGCATGTTCTCTATTTCTTAAAATGAGATAAGCAACGATAGAGAGGTGTAGGAAACATACCAATAGCTAACTGAAGGTTTCTGACTGAAAGAGAATTGAAAAGATAATACCTGTTTTCTTTTGTAATTCAGTGTTATTTAGTGTATATCCATGTGCCATGTAAAATAATCCTGTGTATCATCTAAAATCACTTTGGGTACCATATTAAATTATCTGCCATACCACTAATAGTTTGTGTCCTCCATTTTGATAAGTATCATCTCAGAGTTTGTCTTTTCTGTTCCTAAGTGAAAGCTCTTTGATAAGGTGTGTCAGTGTATTTGAGAAAACAAAACAAAAACAAAATCATAGCTTTCCTTATAATACCTTTGCTTATTTACTTGAAGACAATCTATTCTGTGTTTACTAGCACTGAACAGCATAGTTTGAGTATTTTGCCATGCTTTTGGGCATGATAAAGGAAATATGGAACAGTTAAGTAATGAATCAAGGCACTGTATGACTAAGAACTCAAATCTAACAGAGTATCAGAATCATCTAGGTGGAACTTTTTAAAAATTCATTCCAGGTACTAAATTGAAATTGTTGAGAAAGGAGACTAGAATTTTTTAATTTTTAAAACATTTCCAGGTGATTCTGATGCAGCTCTCTTGCCATCTATCCAAGGATTGGTGTTTGAGAACCACTTGCATAGACTATGAGTATAGCATTGGTATTAGTGGAACTGTTTCTTGCATAGTGTGTATATGGCTATGCCCTTGTTTAAGGCTGATGCTGCAAGAGTGTGTGCTTGGCATAATTCACCTGGTGCAGATCTGTCCTATTATGTGGAATGTATTACACACACACACACACACACACACACACACACACATGTACATGCACACTGGTGTGTGTAATATATATGCATGTGTACACACATAGGTCAAAAAGCATAATATTCCTTATCTTGCAGGGTAGCCACCCTCGTTTGGTCTACCTAAAGGATAAGCCTGTCTTTATACATTTCCTTCAAGTTATGCTTCATGATTTTTATAATCATGTATTTATTTTCATCTTTATTTGCATCTTTGTTTAAAATATGCTTGTTTTCCTAATCTCTAAGTTCCAGGGTGGTAGGGACCTTACTGATCTGCTTATTGATAATTGCTAGTACCTAGCATATTAGCTGATATATGGTATGGATTCCTAATATATGTGTATTGTGTGAACAATTTTTTTTAAGATTTATTTAAGAGAGAGAGAGAGAGAACAAGTGGGAGGGGCAGGGGAAAGGGAGAGAGAATCTCAGACAGACTGCCTTGAGTGTGGAGCCCAACTCCAGCATGACGTGACACAAAACCAAGAATCAGATGCTTAACCAACTGGGCCACCCAGGTGCCCTGTCTGAGTGGGTTGTTAAGAGAAAACAAGTAAACCAAATATATAAAAATACAGAATGGAGAGACAGGGATAAAGTTTATAGGCTACTAATCTTTATCTTATTAGAGTGACTGTATTCCAGTTCTATGTTAGCTGGTCCATTTAAAGATAGGTGTATATATTTACAATCTTCTTTCCCACATGAATTCTTTGAAAGAACTGAACTTTAATTCTCTCCCACTGTCATTTCTGGATTCTTCACTTTTAGGGTTAGAGTGAAGTTGATCATTCATACTATCCTTGTTAAGGCAGTAGGTGGCAAGTAAATTCACAGGATTATTTTTATATTCAAGGGGTAGATTTTCATTGAAATGCATATATAGCATTGAAGACTGCTATCTTCTCTATGGAAAGAGTAAAGGTTCTTATAGGCACATAGTAGCTGGCTAATAAATATTCAGGGAATAGAACACTGGGATTTCTACAAGTAAAAAAAAGTCATAAAGGTGGGAGTGCTTACAAAAAAATTTCTGGAAAAGGACTTTGCTTGAATTCTGTTGAAATATATTTTACATAGACAAGAGAAGGAAAGCAATGTAAAAAAGTCTTGGGATTTATATATATACAGGGTCCTGGGAGAAAAGAGAAAAGAGAAACAACTAGTTTCGTTTGAGTGGAGGGTAAGTACTGAGGAATAACGGCTTTTTAACATCCTTACTTTTCTGTTTTTCTTACATCTCCTTATCTCTATATCTGCTGCCTCCCCTTTTAAGATTTGTAGCTGTTTGATCATTATTCTTTTGACCAAACTCAACTCTCTTTACCTTGGAAGCCTTATAACCCAACTGTTCTCATAAGTGCTTGTATTCTTTTCACTTCTACCATTACTCCCCCGAATCATTGACTTCTCTCCAATGTAGTTCCAATATGCCTGTGTCGTAGGCATTCATTTAGTATATGGGTTCTCAGTGGAGATTGTACCACTGTCAAGGTGGCATTTTAGATATAACAGGTACCATTATTACAGTAATTTAGGGGAAGTACTCTTGATATTTAATAATCAGGGATGCTAGATTTTCTGTAATAGTGGGACAATGCCAAATGGTGAGGAATTCTTATGTCCCACATGGCTTTTATCTGTCTCACCAACCATAATGGAGGTGAAAAACATGTTCATAATTATTAGAACAATTCTAACTCTACATAAAACACAGGTACCTTTATATTGTTTTGAGATACATATTATAGGAATACAAATATATTATAAAGCTTATACTTTGTTTTGTTAAAAATATATGGTATAGTATTACACTGTGAAGTATAGGCATTTATTTTCCTGGTTTTCTTGTATGGAATGGCTTATGATCTTCTTACATTTTAAAACTCCAAACTATGTAAATGAGTGTAAGCATCCCTTATGTTTTCTAGAACAGTCATGCTTGAGCATTTATGTATTAAAATACATATTTTAGGTCATGTTCCATTAATTTCTCTTTTTACTACAGTTAAGACAATTTGTTGATTTTTAATACATTTCATTTCAAGATATAAACGAAGGCAATACAAAATATTTGTTTTTAAATGAGGACTGTCTTAGTTTGGACTACCATAATATATATCATAGACTGGGTGATTTAAACAAGAGAAATTTATTTTATCACAGTTCTGGAGGCTATGGAGTACAAGATCAGGGTGCCAGCCAGTTTGGTACCTGGTGACAGCTCTCTTCCTAGCTTGCAGACAGCTGCCTTTTCACCATGTCCTACATGGCAGAGAGACAGGAGTGCACGAGAGTGCAAGCTCCGGTATCTAAGAACAGTAACCCTTTCAGATTAGGACCTCACCCAAAAGACCTCATTTAACCTTAAACCCTTACTCCAAATGCAGTCAAGTGGGAGTTAGGACTTCAACATATGAATTTTACAGAGAGACAGTTCAGTCCATTGCAGGGACTTTGGAAGTGAAGGTTGAAAAATCAATGATGCCATGTGTAATCAGCGTATGAGTAAATGAATGGATATACATCTAATAACAGAGTATTTCTGGAAAGGTTAATAGAACCCTTTTTACCTGGGTCTCTATAAAGATATCCTTTCTAGCTTCAAATTGGCCTTCAGTGCTGTTGATTATTTTGTTCTCTTGTTGATTCTGTAACACACAGTCCAACCTAAGTTCTACTTCTTCTCCTTCTCGTTTTCCATACATAATGTCATATTCTACTTTGTCAGAGAAAATGTCAGTCAGTTGTGGATGGAATTATCTTCCATTATCTTCATCTCTACTTCAGTCTTTCTGTTAATTTCCACTTTCTTTTTCCTTCTACTCTGCCTTCTTAATAATGTTAACACCTTCTTTGCATTTATTTATTTATTGGCTCCATCTCTTTTGACCACAAACATAATAATAAAAATCAAGTTAAAATGTATATAATGGGTTCCAGTTTTAAAGCATTTCATATGGATTATATCACTGGATTACATGTAGCCTTATAATTGAACAACAATTTTTTTCCCATCTTAAATGACAGAAAACAAATTCTGCAGAGCTCCTGAAAAAGAAAATACCTCTCAGTCTGCATCCCCCTATCTTTATCATCCTCTCTTTCTCCTTCTTTTTACTGCTAGACATTCAAATGAACATTGCTTCCACTTCTTTATCCATTACTTCTAAACTATTTGGGGAAAATAAATTTTATGAGAACTCTCAAGCCAGAGAATTCTTATATTTCTTTGAAAGGGATAGGAAACCACCTTAGTGGAAGTGGAGAAGCAGACCTGGCTTTAGGCAAAATTATGATATACATGTGGAATATATGGTTGATTTCGAGTAGCCTTACATCACTCTTAGCATCTTCAAATGCCTAAGCATCGCCTTACTACACTGGGTGCCTCTTGGACTTGGAAGAATATGGATTTAATGTGTCTTCCTAAACCCCTGAAAGTAAGTGTAATGTTTTGTTCATTTTATCCTCACTTGCTATCAGGCATATAGGTATCTGGTGGACACTTACATAATGTTTGAATTTGTGAATAAATATCACATCAAGGTCAGAGTTTTCTGCTTGGATTTTTTATTCCC